CACTGGAGGCAGGAGAACTGCTGCATGTTGAACCCAGGCTGCAGGAGACTTTATTTCCTTCAAAGCAACTCATGGCAAAAAACTGCTTGGGAATTCTGCCCCCAAAATGAAGACCTGCCAGGAACACCCCAAGGGATCCAAACCAACAGACCCAACAGGTCCAGAGCTCTCAGGTGTTCCCAGCACCAGCTGGGCTCCCTCAACACAAGAACTCTAATGAAAGATGCAGCTCTAACAGAGCTGTCTAAAGAAGAACTACAGGAAAGTCAACCCTTAGCATAAATTATCTTAAAAGAAAGGGAATCCTGCAATACCACTCCACTTTAAAACCCACATTTGCTATTTATTTAGATAGCTGAGAGTTTTAAATGGATTAAAATAAATGCCAGTTTCCTGATGCACACATTCCATCCTTCAGTCTCTCAGCATGGCCTCAGTTCTTCTGGAAATTCCAGGATTTAGCAGCTGCCTTCAATATTTTTAAGCATGACACTAATAGAGCAGAAGAGAATCAGTGGAGTGACAGTAGCACATGGAGAATTTCAGACCAGTTTTCAGATGACATATTAAATCCAGGCACTGGTTCATTCAAAGCAGGGTTCAATATTATAATCTATAAATCAGTATTTGCCTTACAAAATGTAATGGAAAATGCTAATAGGATTTACTGGAGCAATGAAATTGGATCACATCTTATCTATTTGAACTTGATTTGGTACCATATTCCTTCGTCATCAGCCAGCAGCTTCAATGGCTTTTCTCCTCTCCTTCCCGCCCCGTCCTCTCAGAATTCAGGCATAACCTCAGGCCACCGTTTCTCAAAGGGAAATTAGGGGGGACAGACATAAATCAAGTAGAGAATGTAGATTATGCAATATGAAGCAGTATAATGAAAAACTCCTGTAAAGTCATTAGAGCTATAACATGTGTGCCTGAGCTCGTTGTTTATGTAGGGTGGGAAGCTGCCCAGCCAAGGAACTTGAATTTCAGAGAGTAATTTAAACCTGGTAATTTTCTTGTCCACGCTCGGGTGACTGAACACCCGCTGTATCGATGAATATCCGTGTTCGGAATTACGCTTCTATCCACGGGAACCACTCTGTGCTCATTGATACATTCTATTAACTGGGCACAATAAAGTCTTGATTTATTCCCAGTTATCAGGTCTACGGGAGAGAATCTTCCCTTTATCAACAGGGAGATGTATGGAAAGTTGTCAGAGGCATTTAAGTGACAATGTTCACACAAACCTGGCTCTGTGTGCTGGGGGGTAGGAGGGAGGTGTAGCAGGACATGGCACGAGACACGGTGGGGGAACACAGAGATGGAACAGGGATCACCCACACTCTGAGATGAAGTGATGCTTCTGCAGAACACGACTGTCCAGACCCCATCACGTCATTCAGGTTGCAAAAGCAGGAATCATGGAATCCCAGACTGGTTTGGGTTGGAATGGACCATCCTGTCCCACACTGTGCCTTGGGCAGGGACACTTCCACTAGACCAGGCTGCTCCAGCCTGTTCTGATTTGGAGCATAAGCCACACATGTTACTTCCAAGAGTATTTTCTATCATAAGCACTCCAGGTGGGGACTTTTGTGAAATTCCAGGATCCCTGCGAGACTAAAGGAGGAGAGTTCGGTGTGTTGGTCACAGTTTAAGTGTTGCCCACCAAGGAACTGAGTCATGAGTAAATGGAATTCAAAGCACATGGACCTGGAAGATGGGCAGAACATCCCTGCACCAGGAACACAATCATGGAATGACACTGGAGTGGGTAAGAGCAGCAGCAGAGAAAAATCAGAGTAGTTTAGATTGGAAAAGCTCTCTAAGAGCATCGAGTCGAACCGTCCCTCAGCAGTGCCAAGGCCACCATTAATCCATGTCCCCCAATTTCTCAAGGAAAAGAATGGAATTTTTGGGGGGATGTGGAGGGAGAAAGTAGTGCTCTTCTCAGTTTGTCAGAGAAATGAACAGTTGCCTTTAAAGAAGAAACAGGATGGAAGGACACTTGACAAAGGAAACTGCCCAGCCAGGACAATCAGAGGTGCTAAAGGCTTCCTCTCTTTTATATTTCTTTTTTTAAGAACTTTGCAGATTTAAACCTGAAAATAAATTTGATATAAATTTCTTACAAATAGTTACCAGTAGGCAAAGCACAACTCTCCTAAACAAAACATCTGGCTTTCATAGATGTCCTGCCAGGCCAGCTCAGTAGCAAAAGAGCGTCATTCCACTGGTTTGGTGGCAGGCACAGCATTCCCACTGAACAGGGCTGCCCACCCAGGCTGTCCTGGGCAGAGAAAGTCATCCCCTCATGTCCCACCTGCCTGGAACAATGTGCCCATGGGGCTGATCATGGCACATGAGCTCTGACAGCACCCCTATGCCTGGTGCAACCCTTTCCCAGCTGCAAAAAGCTGTTTTTCTGCCTGGTCGGGATGGATGAGAATCAGCAGCAAGGAGCACATGTTGGAAGAGCTCCTGCACTGGGCTCAGCTGGCTGGGGGAAACTAAAACCCAGCCAGGGTTATGTCAGCAATCAGCTGATCACTCAGGTGTACAAACTGCTTCATGCTGTAGCCACATCCTATTTCTACATGTCTTCCACTTTATCCCTGTTTCTTCCTTCCCTAGTGTAATGGGTTGACCCTGGCTGGATGCCAGGTACCCACTAAAGCCACTTTCTCACTCTCCTCTGCAACTGGACAGAGGAGAGAAAAAAAACAGCAAAGGATTCATGAGTTGAGATAAGAGCTGGGAGAGGTCAGTTACTGATTACCTTCATGGGCAAAACAGACTCAAAGTGGGGATATTCCTTAAATTTATTACTAACAGGATAAGAGCCAAAGAGTGAGAAATAAAAAAAGTCTTAAAAACACCTTCCCCCCCACCCCTCCTTCCTTCCATGTTCTCCCCTCCCTCCCTGCAGTGGTGCAGGGGGATGGGGAATGGGGTTATGGTCAGTTGTTGTTTCTGCTGCTGCTCAGGGAGAGGAGTCCTTCCCCTGCTACCTGGGGTTCCTCCAGGAGACAGTCCTTGATGGACCTCTCCAGTGTGAGTTCAGGGAGAGCAAATCACATCCCATCTGCACCCCTGGACACAGTCATCGCTCCCCAGAGAGACCTTGGGTGGCTGGTGCAGGAATGAGCCACCACTGCTCAGCTTTACTTTCGTGGCACTGTCAGAATGAATTTTTCTCATCACAAAGCCAACTGGAAGACTCAAAGCCCCTGTTAAGGAAACAGTGATGTCAGGTCAGGAATAGTTCCAGCTCTGGCACGATTTGGGGCACAGGGCACACACCAACCAGGGCATTGGTTGTGTGTTGCACTGAAACAGCAGTTTTGGCTTTGGTCAGCTAAGCTGATGCTTTCATCCAAACTAGGACTCATGTATGTCTAGATCTTGACTTGGAATGTAAGAAAAATTCAGGAGTTTATCACATCCACTGTGATCTTCTTACTTAAAAAACCCCAAATACCAAAGCAAGCAGGTTTAGCAGCTTCTCCCGTTCTCTGAACAGGAGACAGTTGGTCTCACCTTAATTGAAATCCCCATGATATGAAATAACACAGATGCAATATTTGTTTTGCTAAAACCAGGCTGAGCTCACCATCTTTTTGCTCCCTACTGTGAGTTATGGCCAAAAGCCATTTTGGGGAGCAGTTTGTTGGAGGTGTCACCCATAACACCCAGGGCGAGCCTGAGCAAATGTTTGCACAGGTTCTCTTATTGAGAGTCTTCCAGTAGTAACTCACTGCACAGAATGTAAAGGCCATTTGTTCCATCAGACACTATCCATTGGTGGTTTACCCTCCCACAGAGCCCATTCTTTAGAGCACTGCCTGTTTTTGGAAATGCAGCAAAGCTGAGAGAGGTGGAAACACATCAGTGAGGGCAAAGAAACAAACAGTGACAACACCGATGGACTCTGAGAGAGACTCCTCAAGCTGCTCTGCAGTTCAAGTCTGTCCTTGTGACTGATGATCACATCCCTACACCTGAGCCTCAGGACCTGCAGGCAGTGTCACCAGCCAGCACAGAACTCAGGGCAGTGTCACCCAGCATCCTAGTACACCATCAAGCTCTTCTGTAAGTGCCTTGATCCACCATGTCCCTGGACAGCATGAACTACAAGAGCGCTGGTCATGAATGAACACCCCCTGAATTCCCTGATGTCACAACTGGCCCCAGCAGTGACCAGAGGACAAGGGGCTTTGCTGCCCGTATCAACAAGGACAGTGTCTGTGGGGGAGACACAATGCTGACATTTGTGACCAATAAAGCTGCCACAGCAATTCTAAAGCCAGAAACTGTTACAAATGACAAGCTGGATAACTGAACTTAATCAAACAATATTAACTGTTAGAATGAACAAGAGAAATTATGCACACTTTCTTTCCTCTATTTTTTTTATATGTTGGAGGGAAAAAGAACGTTTCACATCATACCAAGTGCTAAACCAAATTCAGCTCCAAGCTGAGAACACCTTGGTGGGGAAGTCCCAGGTGGTCCAACCTGACAGGCTGCAGGGACAGGTACCAGGTGGCCTTGGGGGTTCCTGGTGTCCCCCACCACCCCCAGGATTCCCCCAGCAGAGCCACGCACCAGTAAACTTCTTCCTTCAGAAGGCAACCACATGAACAGCCTGCTGTCTCTACTGAGAATGTTTCAAATTTCCTTAGAGACCGATCCTCATCCAATCACCCAAACAGAGTTTCTCATCTCCTTGCATTGTACTGCACATCACGGCAAGTTAAACCAGGAAATTTCAGCCCAACAACATCATCAGCCACCAGAACCTACTCAGATAATGACTCAAAACGGAGGGTTTGCACCTCAACCTCCTTAGTGACACCAACCCAGCCATGACACAGCATAGCTCCCTTTGCCACCGTGACACAAAGCCCAACACTACAGTTGCACCACTTGCACCAGACTTTCCTTTGCCGCCGCTTCTCCACCAGATTTATGGAATAAGAAGCAACATGACTTACAGCTTACTGTGACTTTTACTTTTTTCACATCTGGGACTGAGACGTCATTTTCTGCGCTGCATTCGTATTCCCCCGCCTGGTCTCTTGTAATTCCATAGATGTCCAAGTACTGCCCGCTCTCAAAGGGCTTTGCTGAAATGAAACAATCAGAGAAAGAAATTACTGGAAGCTGAGCACAAAACACAGGAAGCTTCAACACCTGACCAGCATTCAGAGGATTTAACACACATGCAAGGGGAGCCGGGAGCTGCTGCAGCCTTCACCCAGAAACGCCACTCCAGGAGCTTGAGGTGAACTGAAAACCCCCTCAGGCTCCTGCAGTTGAACAAAGGTTCTCTCCCATCCCTGCCCCACAGTGATGCTCAGACACATTTATATACACGTGAGTAATTTGCACCTGATGGGCTTCACAGAACAGAGAAGCTGTGGCTGCCTTGCCCCAGGAAGTGTTCAAGACCAGGTTGGGCAGGGCCACCTTCCACCTGACCAGGTTGCTCCAGGCCCTGCCCATGGGAGTTCATGGAATTAGGTGTGCTTTAAATCCCTGTCTTAAAAGCTTCAGCATCCATTAGGGTTGATGGTTTGCACCTGTGCAGAGCCCAACCCCTGAAGGGACCATGGGCAATTCCTGGAGCAGCTAATCTGTCCTTGCTGCCCATTACAGCTGCCTTCACTGGCCAGGGACCATTTGTCCTTGTTACATCACCCAGCAGAGCATGAAGCTGGATGGTGAACCCCCTAGGGCTGCCAGAGCCAGGCATGTCCCGGAGGGAACCAGTGGTTGATCCCCTCTGATGGGGGGCAGTAGGTGTAAAATGGGTCATCACACCTCCTACCTCCAGAGAAAAAGCTCTTCCAGGCTTGCTCACCACCCACTCAGTGCTTACGTGTTGTGCCCTAATAAAAATCTCATCATATTAGTAAAAAACTAATGAAGAGCTCTCCTTTCCCAAAGGAGCCAAATCCAGGAAAGGGGATCCTCAGTGTTTGCCTTGTTACACAGAAATAAGGACAGTGTGAGTGAGCATTTCTGAGCACAGGCCAAGGTCTGTCTGCTGGGAAACAACAGGAAATCAAAGGGAATGTTTGTGTCTGTAAAACCTCAGTGCCCTGCAACGCACACATAGATTGTTTCAGAGACCAGTGCCAATGACACCACTCAAGAGCTCCTTTAACTCCACTTGACACAGCAGATACAGGCATTTCTGGAGCTCCAGAAATCCCAGTACCTCCCAGTGTTTCCCTGCTGTGGTTCCCACGTTGCAGGGAATGCTCAGATATCCCTCAGATGAAAACTGCTCCCTGCTTTCAAGTTCATCTCTCCATGTCTTTTAAGCAGAGCTCCCGATGTGATGGCCAAGTAATTGGTTTAGATTCCTCACAAGGCACCCACCACATAATAAATAAAAAAACGTTAAATATAATTATTATTTTAACACAGTATATCACAGCAGCCACGACCACAGACGCTGGAGATTATAGGTCTAAAGGTTTAAAAGACTTGCTGGAAGTGTTTTCCCACCCAGACAAGCCTTTAATTGACTGTTAATAACTGTGTGGCTTGTGGAGCACTGAAAAAAACCCAGAGTGGGCAGTGAGGACCAAGCAGGAGCTTGGTTATGTCATGTCCATCATGGTGGTGAATTAATTTGCTTATCTGCTCATGAATTAATGTTTTAAAGTGTGCAAGGTTCAGAACATCAATTATCACATCGTTCAGCACGGCAGCTCATTAACACGCACATGACACTGTGTCTGTCACGGGGAGGAGCCCAAGTGAGCACTGGTGGTGGGAAGTAGAAAGATAAGACTGAAATAGGAAAATTATTGTGAATTGAAGTGAATATTCATAACAGGTAGTGAAACAGTTTGTGGGACATGAGGAATTGCATAAGGATTTTTAATTGCATGATTTTTTTTTTCTCCTCCATGTTCATAGGAATAAATGATAAAAAAACCCTTCCCCAAACAAAGCAGGTGTTGCTGTTCCCAGTGTGGTCCCATCCTGCTCTGCTTCAGCCAGTTGAAGCAATTCCCAGGAAAACTGTATTTCCTCTTGCTTTGAACAGCAGAGAAGGATGCAAAGGCCCCCCTGAACAGGAGCATTGGCCCACAGAGAGGATAAAGACCTTCCAGCAATTCTGCTTTGGTTCAAACGCCAAGAAAATTATATAAAATGCAAAATTCTCTCTTGTGTCAGGTTAAAAATAACTAAAAATGATGCGATTGTAATGCTCTCCAATGTCAGTGCTTCCCTGGATATATGTTAGGCATCAAAACATTGTACAGCATCCCAGAATCACGGAGATTGGAAAAGCCCTCCCAGACCATTGAGTCCAACCTGTGCCCAATCCCCACATTATCACCCAGCCCAGAGCACTGAGGGCCACGTCCAGTTGTTCCCTGGACACCTCCAGGGAATGGGACTCTACTACCTGCTTGGGCAGCCCAGTGCACTGAATCCTGAGATAAACTTATGATGCATCCCATCCCAATTCTCAATATAAATTTGGAGAAAAAGAATACAAAATACATCTCCAACTACTTGGAATTTTATTAGAAGTTCATAGTGTTTTGGGGGTGAGGTAAAACCAAACATTCTCTGCTCTAAACTTCTGGTTAAATGTCAACACACCACAGAATGGCCTGAGTTGGAAGGGACCTTAAAGATCATCCAGTTCCAATCCCCCATGGGCAGGGACACCTTCCACTAGACCAGGTTGCCCAGAGCTCCAGCCAACCTGGCCCTGGACACTTCCAGGGATGGGGCAGCCACAGCTTCTCTGGGCAACCTGTGCCAGGGCCTCCCCACTCTCACAGGGAGGAATCCCATCTAATCCTGCCCTCCGGCAGTTTAAAGCCTTTCTCCCTGTTCTGCCACTCCAGGCCCTTGTAAATAGTCTCTCTCCATCTTTGTTGTAACTCCTTCAGGTCCTGGAAGGCCCCACTTAGGTCACCCTGAAGCCTTCTGTTCTCCAGACTGAACAATCCCAATTCTCTCAACCTTCACTCACAGCAGAGCTGCTCCATCCCTCTGATCATCTTGATACCTCCTCTGGACCCGTTCCAACAGCTCAGTGTCCCTCCTGTGCTGGGACCCCTGAGTTGGAGGCAGCTCTGCAAGTGGGTCCCACCTGAGTGGGCAGAGGGGCAGAATCCCCTCCCTGCATCTGCCAGCCAGTTCATTGGTTTAGATTCCTCACAAGCCACTCACCACTTAAATCATCATTCCTGTTAGAATGATTCCCAAAACTGCACATCAGCCCTTTCCATGACCCTTGTATTTATACAGATTTATGCTGAGCTCTGACTGTCATTTATGCTGCAAATGCTCCTGTGTTTTGATAGTGCTGGGCAGATCTGGGATTTTATGCAACTCACACACACATTCCAGATCTTCAAATTAAGGCAATTTAAAACCCTCATGTCCCCCAAAATGTTATATCCAGCTCACCTAAGTAAACTCTTAGTAAATATGAGAGATGAAACTCTTAGGAATACACTGATACCCCATTTAATTTCCCCAATTCGCCTGCCCTGCGATGTCCCTTCCTCAGCCTGTTCTTAGTTCCAGAGATCTCCCATGGCTGTGTGGGAGCACGTGGATCATGTGAGAGCACGTGCATTGAGCTGTGGGAGGGATCTGTGCATCAGTATATGTAAGTGTGTTTATGCTGCATCATGTGAGCATCCAGCTGAGGCAAGGAGATCCATAAGCAGCAGGAGAATAAACTGTGGATGAAGACACTGGGGAAAGAAGATGAGTTTCAGGAGATAACTCAGTTTTCTCACTGTTTTTTCCTATGATCTCTCACAGTCCTGGATAACCAACCCTTACTCTGTTCTTCTGCAGCCCACAAGCATTTTATAGACTCATCAAGAGACTGGAAATATTTCTGGCTGCCTTTTCTGGCCATCAAGCCAAAATACTCCTCAGGCTTTGTATCTGAGAAAAGGAAATCTGAAGGTTCATTAGCAGCAGTCCCTCAGCCTGAGGTCGTGTCAGCCAAGAACTTTGATCAAAGATAAGAAAAAAACATTGGTTGAAGTAAAAGGAACATAAACATGAGGGTGCCTCACATCCAAGGCCATTCCTGATGGGATTTTCAGAAGATCTCTTAACTAGATTATTGATGCATATACAGATACCTAAGTAAACAGGTCTGGACAGCACAGGTGAGGAGACCAGACTTCTCCAGGAAGGGAAACGGCTGTGAAACTAAGCTTGAATGTCTATTTTCTGCCACTGACGTGTGATCTGACGTCTGATAAATCCTCAACGCTTTTATTCCTCAGGAGAGCACACGATTTTCTCACCACACCTGTGGGTTCTGGCACAGGTGCAGCACACACACGCATGGCCATATGGACCCATTCTCACAGGCTTGGATGGAGGAGTTCTGCAAGGGCAGCACTTGCCTCCCCTGTGTTAAATATGAGTCAGCCCAAAGAAAAATCTGGTGCAAGTCCAGAGAAGCTCCAAAAATGGCTGAGGACTTCAGCTGAACCAAGGGGAATTTATTTTTATTTTTTCCTTATTCACTAGGATATTATATAACTACAATATAGTTCCAGTTTATGAACTGTAAAACAGGTGGAGCAATTTTGTAAGGAGATAAAAGACAAGACATGGGCACACAGAATGACAAAGTTGAAAGTTCCAGGGGTTGAAGGGGGTTCAGAGGCTGCTGTTTGGAGAGCAGTGTGTTCTCCCAGTGTGGGCAATGTAAATCTCAGCCAGTTATCCAGAGATGTGGTGTGGAAAAGGTAGAACTGCTCCTACAAGAGGAATCATCTCAGTTTTCCCCATTCTCTACAGTTACACCAGATTCTGTCCCTGTACAGAGCCACTGCCAGGCTGCCCTGGAGTCTGAAATCATGGACTTAGTATGGCTTGGAGCAAGTTTAATTCCTTTCTTTGCTGACTTCATGCCAAGGAACACATGGTTGGCTCATACTCCACAACATGGACTGACCTTTCCCTCTCAGCAGCTGAGAATTAATGTAAAGGAGAACCAGCTCCATTTTAATACCTGATGCTGCCCAGAGAGGCTGTGGCTGTGCCATGCCTGGAAGAGTTCAAGGCCAGGTAGGACAGGGTTTGGAGCCCTGGGATAGTGGAAGGTGTCCCT